ACCCAGGACCAACAGTGCCACACTGTTCACATCAGGGGTGGACAGTGCTAGCTGACCCACCCGCCAATCAGAACAGAGACTGATCAGCCCCAGTGCGGCAGCTCCCCAGCTCCCGGCACGAGCTCTGAGGGCTTGCCTTGGTGTGCTTGGGCTCTGCCTTCTCTCAGTTACTAGGCCAAGCAACTGGGGAGGAGAGGGCCTGGGCCAGTCAGCTGGCTCTGAGCACCAAGGCCAAGGGGGATCCAGGGAGCTGAAGTCCTCCTCAGCTCGAGGTTGGGATGAGGAAGGAATGGGCATTTCAGTGATATAGAAGTTAGCTGAGCGAGAAGGAAAAGTGCATTTAAGGTAGCTTAAAACAGATTAAGACCAAATTGCCACAGAGAGGAAGGCAGAGCGAGCGAGCCCTTCCCCTGCCAGCACCGACTGTGTTTCCCAGAGTCTGCGGGCTCACACTCATGCTCTCTGGTGCAGTCTACTCTGAGGAGCCAGGAACACGGGGCCTCCTGGTTCTGGCAGGTACACATTTTCTTGGCAAAGCTCTTTTTGCCAAGTTAAGTTTTATTTGGTGGCTGTTCTGAACCGTTGTCACCGGAACTCATAGATGGGTGCGCTGTGCTCAGGGACATGAGTCAGATTGAGGGACTGGTACCTGCAGGGGGAGACACAAATGGGCAGCAGTTATCTAATGCACGATATAAAGCAAGCTTCTGAGGGGGCTGGGAGAGGCTCTCGTGGAGCTTCAGGACCGTCACATACTTGAAATTCAAAGTTGCCTTGTGTTTCTTAAGTGGAACCCTGTCTAAATCTCCTCCAAATGTTCTGCTTAGTCCCCCTGAGCTAAGAGTCTGATGAGCTGCTTTGCACTCTGTTCCCATCGGAGGTCGTGACAGTGCTTTATACAGCACCCTGGTCTTGGTCCATCCTCACCTTGTCCTTTGTCCTACTTTCCTCCTCCCCCAGGTATCTCAGCACTTCCGACATGTGAAATACCAGGCTGTGGGAGCCCAGGCCTTCACAAACACACTAGCACCTCCCAAGTCTCTAGGTACCCAACAGCATAAAAAACCCACTTCACTTTACCGATCACTTTCATCTCTTACTTCCCCAGATCTTTACTGTGTCCCTGAAATGTTGAGAGGGGTGTGGTGTCTGTCTGAGTGTTAGTTTTGCCCTTCTTTCGACACATAAAAGAAGGGGGAGCAGAGAAAAGATGAGCACAGGTAATGATTGATTTCTTAAAAAAAAAAAAAAAATCACAAAGGGTTATGCGTGAGCCATCTAGGACATGCAAACAGAAGCTACAGGAGCGAGCACTTCCCCTGGGATGGCTGGGCTCCCTGAGTCCGCTCGCCAGAGCTGCATGCGGAGAAAGGGAAAGCTCCTCATCGCCGGCACAGGTGCCACAGGGCAGAGCCATCGTGGGAAACGGCCGGCAGTGTTTCAAAGGGTTAAGCACAGTTACCATTTGACCTCACAACGGTCACAGCAGCACCCTTCCTAACCGCTCAAAGGTGGAAAGAACTGACGAATGCTGCGGTGCAGCCACACAACAGGGTAGAAGAGGTGCAACAAGAACGGAGGGACCGACACACGGAGACTGGGAGAGGCCTGAAGACATTAGTTGGAAAAAGCCACCAAACTAGAAAGCAAACCCACGCTGCCGAGTCGATTCCGACTGGGGGCCCTACAGGGTGGAAGAGCGCTGCTCCTGAGGCTGTCAATCTTATGGACGGGGATTGTCTCACCTTTCTCCCTACGAGTGGCTGGTGGGTTTGAATAACTGACCTTCTGGTTAGCAGCCTAATGCTTAACCCACTGTACCACGAGGGATTCCAGGCAACCACATTACATGGCTCCATTTACATGAACTATGCAGAAGAAGCCTATCAGTAAGAAACAAAAAGTCTATCGGTGGTTACCTAGGCTAGGACTCTGGGGAAGGAGGCTGGTGGAAGCGGGCAGTGACTGCTAATGTTAAAAAGCAATGGTAGTGATGGTTGTACAAATCCACGGGTATACTAAAAGACAGCGAAAAGTACAGTTCAAGTAAATGATGTTATTAAAAAACACACAATTATGAAAATTAAAATAAAAAACATTTTGAAAACAGAACAATGGTCAAAACTCTAATAACAGTGCCCATTTACTTGCAGGTAAAATGATTTTGCTGTCATCAAACAGGGCAGGATCACCAAACTGTGAGGGATTTGAAAGGGCTACTTTCAGAGGGAGAGAATCAGGCACTGTAGGACCTGGTTCACACTTGCTGGAGCAACAGCAACAAGGAAACAGGAGAGTCCCAGGAGAGGGACCAGAGCGACCACTTTCAGCCCTTCACCTTGGCTAAGGCAGGGCAGGGCCAGCAGCTCCCAAGGTTCCCATGTCATCAGACGGGATCAACTGCAGGTGGGTACAACGTTTGAGGTCCAAGACCACAAAAGTGAAAAAGACCGTGAATTGCAAAGTCCACACTGTCCATAATCTGGCCGTACATTTCAGTCACGGAAACACTGTTGCCACCCCACCAACTGCTCTGACTGGGGTCACAGTAGAGGGCTCTGGATAGATTAGGAGAAAAGAACACAATGAAAGCAAATGTTTTGAGAATGACGATGGCAACAAATGTACACATGTGCTTGACACAATGGATGGATGGATGGATTGTGATAAGAGTTGTACAAGCTCCCAATAAAATGATAAAAAACAACAACTCCCGCAGAAGACCAGACGTATTGGCTTGGTTCACTTGATTCAGCATGGTGAAACCATGAGTCTGTGCTCCTCAGACACGCCTCTAATGACACTCTTTCTGGGGACCACCTTGCAGTCACGTAAGGGAGGCAGGGCCGATGGAGTCAATACCACGACCTGGGCGGAATGTGCTTTCCAGAACAATCACTTGTGAGACCAAAAGCAAAGTTCAGGAGGCAGAAAAGGTCAGGAAAGATGGGTGAACAGAGATGGGTAACTCAAGGTAGAAAAAAGGAGAATGTGAACACCTTGGGGTAATTGCAGGCAATGTCATCTATGTATCTACAACCGGCAGAATTGAAAACATATTTGCTTTGTGAACTTTCACCTAAACAATGCAATATTTAAATAGATAAATAAGACCAAAGCACTGCCAAATAAATAGTGCAGCTTAGAAGTGTTTAACGAGTCAGGAATTCCTAAGTGGTGCAAAGGGTCAGGTCCTCAACTACAAATGGAAAGGTGGCTGCTTGACTCAAACCAAGAGGCCACTTGGAAGAAAGGTCCGGCAATCTGTTTCTGAAGCTTCGTGACCATGAAAGCCCCATGGAGGGTGCAGTTCTACCTGCACACACGAGTCACCGTGGTTGGAAATGACTCTGGCAACCGTTCCCTCTCCACAATTTAATTTTCTCCTCATTTCTCTGCTCTGTGGGCTTTCAAGCATTTGAACAGAGAGCATTAGACTTGGCCTCGGCATCTAACTAAAGCGTGAATCTGTGCAGAGGAGATTTTGCTCTGGGTTTGGTCGGCTGGGGGAGACCTCTGGGGACTCTCACCATTCGGAACTCCTATGGTAGTAGTAGCCCTCAATGGAGGCCGCAGACTTCTGGAAGCAGATGTAGTAGAACCCGGCGAAGGAAGCACCGCTGATGTCTTTGATCGTGTGGTCTGGGACCAGGAACTGCTCCTGCACACAGATGGAGAGCGTGATGAGTGACAGAGTTTTCCCACCACCTCAGTCACCTCCTGGCAGAAAGACACCATCCCGTGGTCCAAGAGACTCACGGGGGACAGCAGCCTGTGAGTGTGCACTGATCCTGAGGGAGCTTCTAGAGTATTCTCCACACCAAAGCTGCATGCTGTGTCTAAGTGCACTACGATGGGTAATTAAGGGAAGGTGGTAACCCAGGTCTAATCATCTCATTGTTAAATGAACAACACCTCTCAGAGGCCACAGGCAGAAGGACCCTGGAAAAGCAAGTTTGTGCTCCACCCCAAGAACGGTCACGAAGCTCCCCATCCTTTCTAGAACACCGAGTCACTGTGTTGGTTTATGGATCATTCTGACGGTAGATTAAACACCAGTGGTCCCCGCCCCCTCAATCTCTATTGCATTCACAGGAATAAGAATACTTGATCAGGCACCTTAAGGGAGAGGCAAGTTTGTCTTCTGGGGCTGTCTGCCCAGCTGTGTCCTAGAAATCAAGTCTCCTGGAATGAGCAGGCCAGGCCCCACGGCCCCAGGAGGGCTACTGAAAGCCCACAGGTGAGCCACCTTGAGAAATTCTTTGGAGACAAAAGACCACCATTGCTGTTTTGATTTCAAGGCACTCTCCTTCACCTCCGGGAATTAGAGTTTTAAAAATTAAAGTAAGATGATGTTTGGAGCTCTACAAAAGACTCCCTTGAGCCCAGTAGTACTCCAGAAGACGGAGTGGCCAAATGTCTACAGAAAGGACATGACTCTCAAACTGGTAACATAAAAACTAGAAATGACCACTCTACATTAATTGTCTATTAAAAAAATCACAAGATTTCAAAATAAAACAACTTTCCCCCGCCATAGATTCGAACCTGAACTTTATGGATGCTCACAAATTTTGCTCTTGTAAAGATTACCACCTGGGAAATATAAGGTCTTGATGATTCAGAACTGACTCAGTGGCAGGGGGTGGGGTTGGTTGTGTGCGTACAATTTTGCCATCCACGACTGTTCAGAAGGTAAGTGCCTGGCCACAAAAGCAGGGAGCACAAATGAAGACCGCTCAGCTAAATAAAAGCCAGTCCACTGAGTACAGCCAGATGGAATCCTGAGGGTTGGCCAATGGAAAATCCAAATTGCATTCCTGACCCATTATCCCCTGACTGGATGCAGCTGGCAGAGCTAAAGCTGCAATGGAGTCCAGGAGGGCAGATATGGTGGGGCAGCGCACTTGTGTAAAGGGCACTGTCTCCCACTGCTGTGAATTCTGTGCCATGAGTGATGATGATGTTCAAAGGCAGGCCCGTTCTCCCCCTAATCCACAACACACAAAACCTGCAGGCTAAAAGGCATACCTGGGTGGGACAGAAGGACCAGTCATGTCCAAGGGCAAGAATAATCTGCTGGTCACTCAATAGGTTATCCAGGCAGAAACTGCTTTGGAAGTCAGCGAGACAGTGGCGTTCTCTGAAGTTCTGTTTGCTTTATACAAGTGTGTAAAGACACTGCTACTAAGGAACCAGCACTGGACCAGGGAGCTATGTTGGGAAGCGCCTTCTACAGGGTGGCAAAAGGATAAATCATTAAGTTAGGCCTTACCTTCCACCTCATGAAGACATAATCTCCATTCTTCAGCTCTTCATAATCAAAGTCATCAGAATTAAATGATTTTGCATACTGATAAAAAGCAAGAAACTTGCCCTGAAAGCAAAAGGAGTATAAATAATGGGTCAATAGAGGAAAAGGCTGGCTCTCGGCCTGCTCTGGGGTGGCCAAGGGGTATTCATGTTTCAATGCAGACAGCAATGGATGGGCCCAAGCTTCAGACCAAGGCCCTGCAGACAAGCTGACAGGAGACAGAGCCTTCTATTTATCCACCTACCCCCTCATCTTCCCAAGACACTCTGCTGGGGAGAAGGGCAAAGGACGGAGAGAGATGCCAGGGATCTTCTCTCAGAACATCTCACCCCAAACAAATAAAAGGCAAGCATGATTAAAGTCAGTGGTTCAAACCAACCAGCTGCTGTTCCACAAGAGAAAGATGAGACCGTCGTCTGTCCAATTCTGTACAGATAAGCCTTAGAAACCGTCACTAGGGTTTTGACTAAATGACAGTGGGTTTGACCTTGGTTTAAGTCATACATAATCTAATTCTATAGTTCCCTAAACCCAAACCAAATTCACTGCCATTGAGTTGACTCCGAGCCATACCAATCCTCTACGACAAGGTAGAGCTGCCCCTGTGGGTTTCTGAGGCTGCAACTCTTTATGGGACTAGAAAGCGTCGTCTTTCTCCCGCAGAGTGACTGGTGGTTTTGAACTGCCGACCATATGCAGATCTCAGCCCAATGCCCAACCAACTACCCCACCAGGGCACCTTAAATGAAGCGGATTAGACATTGTAAACCCTGGACAAACAAGCCCCGTCGGAAGCCCTAGGAGTCCCCATGGGAATCCGGGACCTAAGAAGTGAAATGGGAAGTGAGGGAAATGCCAGGCGTCTGCACAGGAAGCAAGCACTGCTGGAAGAGAAAGAGACTTTGCAGGCTCACTTTCCGGTCATGGTCACACGGAGCCCTTCTCTGCCAGGAGGACCTTGTCAGTTTTTCTTTCACCCAAAATATTCAATCCAGTCTAACAGTGGCTGAGGTCTCAAATGGGCTCAAGGTTTTTAACGGAAGGAAGTCAAAGGGAAAGAGTTGCGTTCCCAGCCCTAACTTTGTGGCCAACCTTAAGCAAAATTGAGTTTTTCATTGGATTTCAAAGACTGATTTCTACAGGACCAAACTGAAATGGAAAATAAAGGTGAATGGAAGACAGACTGGTTTACTACAAGAAAGTTTCCTACACTGGGAGCTATTGAGGAGAGGGAATGACCTTGGCAAGGTACATAGGAGGGGCTGGCATCAGGTGGGCCAGGTGGCATCAAGGTGTCCGACCAGTCTGGTTCTGACCACTGGGCACCATCACATCTAACTAGTGTTCCCAGACACCCACGGGCATTCTCTTGTCTCAGAGACACAAACACCGATCTGATCTTTACTGTCTATTTGCTGCAACAGTTAAAAGATAAAGCTTTCATTGCAAAATTAAAAAAGCTCACATTTAAATTTGAAACAGCATTTAATAGATTTTCCTTTCTTAAGTAAAAAAAAAAATCACAATTAAGCAAAGCAGTTCCCCTCTACTGAAGCGAACTCAGCCACAGGTCTGAGGTAGGTGGTCTCTCCACAGAGCATGCTGTATCACCATCAGGTGAGCTTAGACACAGGTGTGAGTAGCAATGGGAAGAATGAAACCTTCGTTACTGTCACACCATTTTGATGATAATGTAGCCTATAGTAAGCAAATTGGAACTCCTGCTGTCTAAAAAAGGAAAAAAAATCACCATCATCATGGTCAACTACGCAAAAGGCTCTTTATCATTGGTTTAAAAGTAGATTTTGACATGGAAACACAGGGAATCCAGGACAGATAAACCTCTCAGAACCAGCATTGAGAGTAGCCATACCAGGAAGGGAAGGAGAAGGTGGGGGGAAAGTGGGAACCAATCACAATGATCTACATATAACCCCTTTCTTGGAGGACGGACAACAGAAAAGTGGGTGAAGGGAGACATCAGTCACTTAAGACATGAAAAAATAGTAACAATTTATAAATTAACAAGGATTTGTGAGGGAAGGAGGGTGGGGGAGGGAGGGAAAAAATGAGGAGCTGACACCAAAGGCTCAAGTAGAAAGCAAATGTTTTGAAAATAATGATGGCAACAAATGTACAAATGTGCTTGACACAATGGATGTATGTATGTATGGCTTATGATAAGAGCTATATGAGCCCCCAATAAAATGATTTAAAAAAATGATTTTGAAGACATAAGACATGTGGCAATTGATGAATAAACTCTGGAATGAAAATTAACTTATCTTGAGTATTTATTACTTCACTGTGTCTATAAGGAGCTATGATTTACAGAACCATCGTGGTTTTGCCCACAGCGATAAGCCCAAGGGAAGGCACATTTCCATGAACTGTATAATTTCATTCCAACTCTACTACAGTCAGAGGCAATTACTTAGGTTTTCCCCAAGTAGGTCATTAGAAAGGAAGCGGAGGCAAAGATGGACAAACAGGTAATGAGGTCAGGAGAATACTGTCAAGCACAAAGTTTTGGGTGCAATTTGGGGGGTTGATATCATCAGAAAACCACTTACCACTTAAAGAAGAACATCTAATTGGTATCTCAGTTCTTTTCACAAGGAAGTAAACTGGGGTTTGTGCAGGTCTAAGGGGTCCTGGAACCCTGGTAGCATAATGGTCAGGTGTTGGGCTGCTAATCACAAGGTCTACAGTGGAAACCACCAGTTGCTCGGGGGAGAAAGACAAGCTTTCTAGTCCGATATTTAGAGCCTCAGAAACCTCCAGGGGCCGTTCTACCGAGTTTTATAGAGTTGCTGTGAGTCAGCATCGACGGAAAGCAGTGAGGAGTATGAATATGGGATGTCCCCTAGCCACATCAGGCCGAGGATTTACTCACCCAGTGTTTCCGATCAACATCTTCATCTGCATCCCACTTTCTTGTTAAGAAAGGGTGTTTTTTGCTGATTATTTCTCCTTCAAAGAAGGTTGTAAGAGTTGGATACTCCTGTGGTAAAAGGACAAACATCAAAACAAGATGTTTTAAAAAGAGCCACAGCATCTTAAACTCAGATAAAAACATCACACTGTTAACCAAGTCCAAGTCAGAGCTAGACTATGTTATTTACCAGTAGGGTGTGGGAATGGATATTGGAAGGTCTTCTGGGGTTTGGAGGCTTTGTCTGAGCACAGAATCTTTCTTTGACTTCCCTTGTCATGCTCTGGTCTCTCAGAAGTGCACCTTGTCTACTTGTACCCAAAGTGAACTCTGCAGATTCTAATGTACAAAGTAGATGGCCACTGAGTGGGTTTGACTTTCCAAGGTAAAGATCATAGAGAAACTCAGAGTCACAATGTGGACAGGTATGTCTTCAGCAAACCACGGTCGGCCCGCTGGTTCTCTGAAACTGCTTCAGTAGTTTGTCCCTGTCACACCAATCATCCAAATTTCCAGTGGGGGTAGAATTTGGGGTAGACGGTTTTGATTCTAAATTCAATATATATTTATATTTTGTTCTATATCACATTAACTAAGAACAATTTATCCTAGAGGAAAGATACATAAATCATAACTGCAGTGTAAAATCACAACCATAAAAAAATACACCATTGAAAAATAACAAGAATGGAAGGAAATATTTGGGAATACAAACATATCTGATAAGGGTTTAGTATCTAGAATGTGCAAACAATTCCTGCAACTTACCAACCAAAAGACAAACAATCCAATGAAAAAATGGGCCTCAGAACTTGAGCAGACATTATTCCAAGGAAGATTCCCAACATGCTCAACTTGATTAGTTATTAGGAGTATGCACAACCCATCCACTACACAACACCCATTCTCAAAACAACAACAACATCACCAGTGCTGGTGAGGATGTGGAGAAGTCAGAACACTTATACATTGCTGGTGGGAATATGCAAAAGTGGAGTCAGTCCCTGTGGAAAACAGTTTGCCAGTTGCTGAGGGATTTAAACACATAACCTGACATTACGCTCCTACTCAAGAGACTTAAATGCAGGGGCTCAAAGAGATTCATGTACACCTAAGCCCAATGCAACATTAGTGACAGTAGTCAAAAGGTGGAAATGAGTCAGGTGTCCATCAAAAGATGAACGGATAATCAAAGATGTGGTGTAGATTTATGTACAATGGAGTAAGACTGTCACACAAGGAGAAACGAGTGCTGATACAGCCACAACATAGATAGATCTTGAAAACATTATACTAAGTTAAATAAGCCAGATCCAAAAGGACAAATGTTGTAAACTGCCACTTATAGGAAACATCTACATTAGACAAAGGCACAGAAAGAAAAGTTGACTAATGGTTACCAGGGATGGGGTGAGGGTGGGGTTACTGCTGAAGGGGGAGCAAGTGATGAAAAGCCTTTGGAAATGGACAACAATGATGGTTACACAACATGGCTTGTAACATTTAAAAATGGTTAGGATGGTGAATTAGGTTGCTATACATGAGGGTAAGTACAGAGTATTGTTACTAGGATTCCAGCTCATGCCTGCGTGGGTTTATTCCAAACAAAACCTGTTTAAACCTGTTCTCTGTGCTCAGACAAGTTCTCTCAGTAATACACGTGTCTTAGTCTCGGTAGGGTGTGAGATGTGGTGGTGGTAGTAGAGGCCATGAGTGAGTTCTGACTCATAGCAACCCTTTGTATGACAGAATGACACTGCTCGGCCGTGTGCCAACCTCATGATTGTTCTTATGTTTGAGCCCACTGTTGCTTGCTAAGCCCTTGGTGTTTGGGGGAAGCATGGATCTCCTAAGCAGGGATGCCACACTGCAGGTCATGGGTTCTGGGGACTGCTCAGAACCAGAAACCTCTTACCTCTTACACAAATGGGGGATAAAATGACATTCTAGTACAGAGATTTGCATAGTCCCCTAGGACAAACCCAAGAAGCCAACTGAAATAGATATGGATGACAATCTTGGAACTCAGCAAGATTAGAAGGATAAGTCATTTGATTAAAAACGAACGAACGAAAGAAAGAATGAAAGCAGTGATGACAGAGAGCTGGCGAATACGCAGATACTGTCTAGCCTTTTTTCTGAAATCATTGTACTGGGGCTCGTGCAACTCTTACCACAGTCCATACATACATCCATTGTGTCAAGCACACGTGTACATTTGTTACCATCAACATTCTCAAAACATTTTCATTCTACCTGAGCCCTTGGCATCAGCTCCTCATTTTCCCCCTCCCTCCCTCACCCTTGATAATTTATGAATAATTATTATTTTGTTCTGCCTTACACTGTCTGACGTCTCCCTTCACCCACTTTTCTGTTGTCCGTCCCCTAGGGACTGTCTGGTTATTTTGAAACAGAGGGCAACATACGTGGGTGAGGAGAAACCAACTTCATGGACTCCCCACGAAGACATGATGTCAACAAACCTAGAGCGAAGCAACACAAGCAAACCCTGAGCTAAAGAAAGCTCAGCAGGACAGAACCCCGGGGACACAGGCCAACACAGGGGAGGGGCCAGCAAACAGGGACGCAACCGCTCATCGGTAGTGGTTGCTTGTCCCCTTGTAGAGGGGAAGACCTGAGGGGGTAGCTGGAAACGCTGGACAACAGGCGGCCACCCCCACTCCTGCCCGAGACAGAACAGAAACCTGGTAACTGGCTGCATTCGAGCACAAAGACACTAGGCTTATGTCAGTGGGCAGTGACCAGAGAAATGCACTCATTCACAGCTCCCCTCCCTTTCTGGTGACGAGGGATGAGGCCACCTACTTCCACCTCTACAGCCCAACAGCCAATGCTGCCTCACTGCCACCCCTCCCTTCCCTACTCTTTGTGCTGTGACCCTCCAGCGGACTGCAGAATAGATGCTTACCACCTCTGTGGCCAGTGCACACATCTCTGCGGACAGGGCCACACACCCCTGCTTCCGAAGCACGTGCGCTGTGCACTCTAAACTTCTTTTCCTCCTGTTTTAGGGTGCAAAGCCAAATGAACCAAACTCCCTGCCATCGAGTCGACACCGACTCATTGTGACCCTGGGGGTTTCCGAGACAGTAGCTCTTTAAGGGAGTAGAAAGTTTAGGGTGCAAAGGGGACCCCAAATCTCAAACATAATTTAAAGAGAACATTTATTTAGTCTTAAACAGGACAAAGGACAAGACAAGGGCAAAGACACATGATCCAGATGAGGGAAACCATTAGCACGAGGGAGGTCATGCTGGCATCCAAGGGTTTACAGAGAACTGAGACTTCTACAAGACATGGGAGAACAAAGGAACGGCCACAGAAGGAAGACTGGGAGCCGATCAGGGCATCGGTCAGAGGTGGGACGGGACCATCACTGGGTCATGTACATACACCCTGTTAGACAGAAGAGCTATGTTTGCTTAGGAGTGGTGGTAGAGGCAATCCACTTTCCACTGGACTCTACACCTGAAAGCAAGGCTGTGCACATTTCTGGTTGATGCCAGAAGGAATTCAATAGAGACTAATCCACATGGGACTCTGCAAATGGATATTGGGCTTTCACTGTTGTTCTTTGCCTCCTACAAATGGAGTGCTCCGGGTTTAAGCACTAATACACTCCCCACCTGCTTTCCTCATCTTTTGTCTTTCCTGATCCATTGTGTCCCCACTAGTCAGCCATACCCCCACATCTGTCACCAACCGCCCCACACAACAGGCATCTGCCACCATTCAACCCAGTACCACCGGATCAAAGGCATCATGGTGGACAATCTGCTCAGAACAGCAAACAGACCTGTGTCCACACTCCTACCCATTACCCGACCTACCCACCCGGAGTGCAGACATATCAAACAAAAACAAAAAAGCTGGGTGAAACAAACCAACAGATAATCAAAACAAAATAATATCCCACTGTCTCAGATATAACAGATAGTTCAAATTAAAAGTCAAACAAACAAGGCAGGATAGCTCAAGGCAAAAGACCAAAGTAAAGAGCCAGGAGAGTCCCTGAGGAAGAAATGGTAATGGAACTATCTGATAAGAAATTCAAGACTTATATATAGGGCCTGCCAAGATATCAAGAAAACCACAAATAAAATAAGGAAAACAGACATCGACAATATCTTTGTGAAGAATTCAGGAAAACAATGCAAGAGCAAAATGATAAAATAAATAGGCAATTACAATGCTACCCCCAAACAATCTACAGATATATTGCAGCTCTGACCCAGATTCCAATATCATTCTTTCCAGAGATGGAAAAGCCAATCACCAACTTTATATGGAAAGAGAGCCCGATAAGTAAAGCACTTTTTAAAAAGAACAAAGTAAGATGTCTCATACTTTCTGCTGTCAAAACCTACCACACAGGCAAAAACAGCCTGGTTCTGATGATGGTACCGAATTGAGAATCCAAAAGTCAATCCGACCACCTATGAATGTCTGGTATTTGACCGAGAGCCCAGATCCACTGCACAGGGAAGACATAGTCTCTTTAACAGATAGTGCTGGCAAAACTGGATATCCATTTGCAGAAAAATGAAATTAAGATCCACACCTTATTCAAAAACAAACACAAGATGAATCAAAGATCTAAGTATAAAACCTAAAATTTAAAGATCATCAAAGAAAAAATAGGGACAAACAGAGGCTCTAATTTATGTCATAAAGAGTCTGTGAATGCACAAATGTGCTTGACACAATGGATGTATGTATGGATGGTGATAGGAGTTGTACAAGCTCTCAATAAAATGATTTAAGAAAAACAAAAAACAAACAAACAAAGTACGTGAAAACATAGCCCAAAGGGCACAACCAACAGAAGACAAACTAGATGAGTGGAGCCTTACAATAATCAAACACTTAGGTGCATCAAAAGGCTTCTCTCAAAGAGAACCAACAGACCGGTAAAAAAACACTAGCAGCAACAGTGTAAGGGCAAAACAGACCTCCTTAATCTGGTCAGAGCCTTGATACAAGCGAGGGAGGTTTCATTTAAGGCGGCGGTTCTCAACCTGTGGGTTGCAACCCCTTTTGGGGAG